GAGACGATTACACCACAACTCCACCTCCGTCCGTTGCAATACGTGCAATGGGTGGAGCCATCTTCGAGTTTTCTCAGGCATCACGACTCACAGCCAATGGACCACTGCGTACGTGGCCCCTTGCTGCGCCACTCGAGCTGCCTCCACGGCACAACAGAGTCCGCCTGAACAACTCAACACAACCACACCACAACACAATACAATAGACAATACCACAGACACAACAGACCACACTACAGATACAACTGCACCACCACCCACACGCACCCACCAACAACTCCTAGTTCCTCCGACAATCTGCACGGTGTGTCAATCCTGGATATTCCATAATGTAACATCAGTCAAGTGCAACACCTGCCTTGGCTGGTGTCACTTTAGGGCATGCTCAAGACTGCGCACCACGCGACATTAGACGAGGGACTATGAGGGCCCATGCTGTGCTGCTCGGTCGCAACCCCCGACTGCAACACGACCACTAACACCACAGGGCAACAGCCTCAGCAACAGCAAGCACATCATGTGGCACGGCAACACACATCACTAACATCCCACATTCCAATAAGTCTCCCTAGGCACACGACGATTTTACAATTAAACTCTAACGAACTTCAGAGCAAGATCGAGGAGATAACGGTCTTCATGGGTCGGCACGGAATATTAATAGCTGCGGTCCAAGAGACGAAGCTGCACAGCAATTCAACACTGGTGGAGGCCTAGCGTTCATCACGCACCACACCGGGCAGTATCGTCTTATCGAAGCAGACATCGACCGCACGGATACCATCCTAGAATGTCAGGGAATTGCTATCCGGTCAGGCGATGTCGAGCTCGAAATATTTAACATATATATGCCCCCTGCCACCAGCTGCCCGGCAGGATATCAGCCTGAAATAGGTGCGCTCCTCCGAGGTGAAAACTGTATGGTAGTTGGTGACTTCAATGCGCACCACGATCTTTAGCATTCAAGCCTGTCAAACGATCGTAGGGGAACACAATTAGCTGACGATTCGACATTCTGCACAAATAATGACGAAGCACCCACCAGGATTATGGGCAGATGCTGCAGCTCGCCAGACCTAACAATAGTTAGCGCTGGTCTGATAACAGCGTATCATGGCGACCTATGCTGACTTTAGCATCAGACCATCTGCCCATAATCATCTCGATTGATAAACCAGCCGACTTTGCTTCCGCGGATCACCGGACCTATGTCAACTTTTCTAAAGCTGATTGGGAAGGCTTCGCGGATGTTACTGAAAGCGCCTTCGCTGCACTACCCATAGCAACCGACGTTCATGTAAATTCCGCAGGGTTGTCACTGCTGCTGCAGCCCGCTTCATCCCAGCGGGATGCATTCCCGACCCTCGTCCGAATTTTCCTGCAGAAGCGGCTGTCCTAGCCGATGAGCGCGACAACCTTCGTCAGGCCGATCCCGGGAATCCCCGTATTAGGGATCTCAACGCTGAGATTCGGCAGCTAGTAAACGTACATAAGCGGAAGAAGTGGAAGGAGCATCTGAAGACCGGTAACTTCGCCTCTGGTGTGAGTAAGCTGTGGTCAACCGTGAGGTCATTGTCCAACCCGGCGAAGCGTGACGACAGAGTTGAAATAGGCCTGGTGAACACGCTTTGTCGGACCCGGCCGGTCGGAGGCGGCAGTTTATCTTGCATAAAGCCAAACGGCGAGTGACCAGAAGGCTGCACAAACTGCCAAAACCTAGTGCGCCCCTTGTTTTCACCAGAGGTGAGGTAAGGGTAGCCATCGGGAAGGCGAAAGCCTCCAAAGCCATTGGACCCGACGGAATATGCATGCTGATGCTGAAAAATTTGGGTCCTACGGGAGTAGCGTACCTAACGGAGGTCCTCAACTTGTCAATGGCCACTCTCGTTATTCCAGACATCTGGGAGAGTGGTCTCACTGCTCAAACCGGGGAAACCAGCCAACAAAGGAGAGTCTTATCGTCCGATAACCCTCCTTTCCTCGGTAGCGAAGACACTAGAGTCCTTGCTACTCCCGTATTTTATAAACCACCTGACCCCAGCGAAGCATCAGCATGGGTTCCGTAAAGTGCACAGCACAACAACAGCACTTAACGCCATAAATACCCAGATAACTCGTGGCCTAAACCGAAAGCGCCCCTGAGAGAGAACCATTCTAGTAGCGCTGGACCTGTCTAAGGCGTTCGACACTGTCAGCCATTCAACGCTACTAGAAGACATACAGGCCTCCTCTCTCCCATAGGGACTCAAACGGTGGTCGGCGAATTATCTGAGTGGTCGTCACTCGTTAGTAACTTTTAGAGACACATCGAGCAAACTGAGGAAAATAAAACAGGGGGTTCCACAGGGTGGTGTCCTTTCCCCATTACTGTTTAACTTTTACATTTCAAAGCTCCCTCAACCACCAGAGGGAGTCTCGATTGTCTCTTATGCTGACGATTGCTCGATCATGGCGTCCGGGAATGGAATTGATGTCTTGTGCTCGAAAGTAAACGGTTATCTCGCCGAGCTTTCTCGCTTCTTCACTGAACTGAGCCTAACCCTCTCCCCTACAAAATCCTCAGCCACACTTTACCTCCTGGACGAAGGAGGTCAGACTCCAACTGGAAATTCACGTCGATGATACACCAATTCCGACGGTGAACAACCCGAAGATACTCGGAGTAACATGCGATAGTCTGCTCTCCTCGGTGCATACAACCGCAATTGTCAACAAAGTACAAAGCCGCAACAAGGTCCTCAAGTCGCTAGCCGGCAGCACCTGGGGCAAAGACAAAGAAACGTACCTGGCAACGTACAAGGCAATTGGCCGGCCGGTTCTGAACTACGCTGCGCCCGTGTGGTCACCGGGGACTAGTAGGACGCAGTGGATGAAGCTACAGACTTGCCAGAACACGCAACTTAGGACAGCGACAGGATGCCTCTTGATGTTGCCGCAACACCACCTGTACGAGGAGGCCCACATGCTCCCTGTTAAGGAGCATAACAATGCTCTGCAGGCAGTTCCTTGTTGGGAGCCACAGATTGTGGCCATCCAAACGGGCAACTCCTTGCAGAAGAGCCTTCGCCCAGGCACGTCAGGAGGCATCTCTACGAACTGACGGACGAAGTCCAGAGGTTCATCAAACAACCTCTGGACCCGACAGCTTATCGACAGGCCTTGAACGACATTCA